CTCCAGTTCCATCCACGTCGTTGCAAATGGCAAGATCTCATTCCTTTTGATGGCTGCATAATATTCCATTGTATATATATACCACATCAAGAGGTGACTATTAACCAGAGCCTACTTCAGCCACTTCACTTGGAGGTGGATCCTGAAATTCAGAGAGTCAAGACCCAGGAGCGGGAGCAGATTATGGTCCTCAACAACAAGTTTGCCTCCTTCATTGACAAGGTGAGTACCTCAAGGGCAGGTGAGTCTCTGGCCCCTGATCAAATAACTGAGAGGGCCTTGCGCCCTGCCACCTCTTACCACCTTGTACTATCTCAGTTTGGCGGTACCAATCACGTCCAGAAGTATATGTTCTGGGACCTTAAGAAAGCATTTACCTCATTAGGCCTCAATTTGACTTATTGAGGGGATTTATTTTTATCTTTTCTTTTTGGCAGGAAAGCAGGTAAGAAGTGTGAAAATACCCCACAGAAAAAATACATGGTGTAGTGACTTCATTCTCATTCATCATTATTCACTTTCCATATACCCACTCATCCATCCATCTATCCACCCACCCACCCACTCATCCATCCATCCATCCACACAGCCATCCCACAAACATTTACTAAACATCTACTATATGTCGGATACAGTGCCAGGTACTACAGAGAGACTAGAACACAGGTCCTGTCTTCAAGGAGCCATGACATAGCCTAGGTGAATGCTCTGAGGTTATCACTGGGGGCTAAAGTGAAAAGCAGACTAAGTAGGATTCTATCAGTGTTCCTTGTTTTAGTTCATCCAAGGCCAAGAATGGGCCAGATGGAGCCATTGTAGCCCCTCTCCTTAGTTCCCTAATTAAACCTCATATTAGGGCTGGTCCAGACCCAGATCAGCAAGCAGAGGATGGTAGAGGTCTATGGTAAAGACCTTCCTCCAGCATTTCCTTCCGTCCAGAAGTGGAGGCACAGTAGCCCCTGTAAGCTCCCCAGCAAGTTCTTTGTTCTTGGGGATATGGTGAGAAGCACCCTGGGGCACAGAGGCCCAAGGATGCTCAGTGACTTCCCCTCGGTCCCATAGGAATTCAGTGTTGAGGCCAGAGCTTGACCTATGGTCTGACTGCAGATTAACCATGGCTAAAGTCAACCACTGGGCTGTATATACAGTCTCTGATATCTGGGTAGATGTTGGGGAAGGACAGAGTGTGTGAGCTAGGGGAAGAGGGGTAAGAGTGTTGAGGCCCAAAGATAGCCAAACAGGAGTTCAACAGAACGAAGTGCTTCTGGCTACTTCTGATCACCTTGGATGGGAAATTTGACTGAACATCATCATACCTCAGGCAAGGGCAGGGACTTGGAGAGCTTGACTGGAGTAAGGAGGTGACACCACTGGAGGTCAAGACTAAGCTAAAGGAGAAGACAGGAGAAGAGAGGGCTGGAGGTCAGTGCAATGGCCGTGGGCTACTGGTAACTGATCTCCTGGGACTCATTTGATTGTGGTTCCCACCATTAATATAGGACATTCGTTGCATTTTATGGTGTGGGGCTATGGGCAGAGGCCAAGTTGCAGGAGACTGTGGCAACCTGTCCTTCCCTAAGGCTTGTCATGACCAAGAGGAAAGAGCCCCCAGGACTCTGGCCTGGCTGGAAGGGAGAAGGCTTCTACTGCAGTGGATTCTGACTCTAGTTTCTGATCTGGTCTTTCTGCTTTCACCCTTAACCTCATATAGTCCATCCTCAGAGCCACACGAGAGGCATTCTTTAAAAACATTGCATCACTTCTCTTTTTGAATCCCCCATTGGCTGTTCGTCTCATTTGGAATAAACGCCAAGATCCTATAAGGCCCTGTGTGATCTGGCCTCCACCCCGCAGCTACTGCTCACCCCTGGCTTGCATTTGTGAGAATTAGGCAACATTGCTACCACTGGGTGGAACATCTCTCAAGCTGCACAGTTTAGTGAACAGAGTGAGGGCAGGAGTTTAGCTCCCCAGGGTACAAACTCGTTGTCTGCAGTGACCCTACAGTCCCTCCGTGCTCCTCTCCTGTTTCTCTCTTGCTTACTAGGACACTATTGCATGCTTGCATCCTCCACCACCCCACGCCTGCCTCAGGGCCTTTGCTCCTGCCATTCCCTCTGCTTTGAATGCCTCCTCCCCAAAAGTGGTCTGGCTTGCTCCCTCATCTCCTTCAGGTCTTTTCTCAGATGCCACTATCCTAGCGGGGCCTTCCCTGATCTCCCTTTTCAAAATAGCACCCCCACACCAGCATCCCTGTCCACCATCCCTGTGTTGCTTTTCTCCATTGTCCCTAAGACCATATGACACACTAGATATTTCACATGCCTCCGGGTGCAGACTATCCAGGCCACTCACCACCTGGCATAGAGGATTCAAGCTCAGCTGAACAAAGCCAGGCCGGTGTCCCCATGGGAAGAGATGCACCCCATCCCTTTCCTTCCTGAGGTCCCTTTTCCTTGTTGTTGGTTCTACAAAAGCCTTTGTGTCCATTTCTACTCTCTGAGTGTCCAAGCCTGACACCTGAAGGGCTGATTTGATTTGTCGTTCAACATGTATTTATTGAGTAATTATCATGTGCCAGACTATTCTGGGTGTGGGAGATTCAATTATAAACAGGGGGACGTCACTTTAGTTGAGATCAAAAGGGTAAATAGGGCATAGCCAAGCAAAGAGCTGGGGAGATCTGGGCTGCTGGAGGCAGCAGGAGGTCCCTGGGCCTGGAGTGTCATAAGCAAGAGGGTCACGACAAGCCAAGAGGGGTGTGCTTTTCCCAGCACGAAGGTGAGCTCAGTATGATGCTAAGTTTCATCTGTGCTGATGGGACAGAGCCCGGGAGTGTTTTGGGGAGCCTGGGAAAAATCACAATGGCTTTCAGTGATTTTTCTAGAGATTAAATCTTACTAAAATTGCCTGGCGCTCCCTGCAGCCAGTCTCTGCCTTTGCAGTTTGGGTGGCCTGATGAGAACCCCGGGTTCTTTTGCTGATGTGCTCCGAGGTATTGTGTGCAGGGGGAGAAAGTGCTCTGGCTCATCTGCCCCTCATTGTTTATTTGATGTGGAGATTCTATTGTGGGCCCATGAGATTTGTTCCCTTCAGTTCCCACAATACTGAGCACAGGGCCGAGACCCCTGTTTGATTTGTCCACCTTCTGGCAGTGCCCCTAGAGCAAAACGAGGCCAGGTGGCAGGAATTTCCCATGGCGGGGGGCGGGGGGTGGGTTCAAACTGAGACAACCTGTGAGATCTGCTTGCCTTAGCTCTTGCTTTGATGAAGCTAACACAAATGAGCCATGGGGAATAGCATTCACTGTGCACGTCTCCTAGCCTAGAGTCAGAATCCAACGGGAGTTAACAAGGGCTGGCCCCTCAGAAGGGCAGTCCTAAGGGCCGGGGGTTTGGGGCATCCTCCTTGGTGCCGCATTGTAGGGGAGTGTCTTTAGGGTTCTGTTTTGACTGCACAAAGCAGTGGGTTTGTCCTCACACACAACTCCCAGGAGGATCCTGGAGTGTGCGTGTGTGTGTTGTGTGCGTGTGCACGTGTGTGTGTGTCCGCACCTAAGCAAAGCATAGAGGCATCCCTTATCTTCGCCAAAGGCATGGGGAGGGAGGCTCCATCTAAGGGCAACCTGCAGAGGTAAGGTGAGGGTTGATCATGATCATGCGGAGCACAATCCATGTACTTGGTCAGCACAGCCAGTCAGCTCTCTGGACCCTGTACCTGAGCTTTGTGCCCAGTTTCCGGAAGAGAGATAGTAAGAATATAGGAGGATGTCCACTCTCCATTTTCTGCATCAGTGAAAGTTAATGAAGGGAATAGCAACATGAGTATTTCCCAAACACTAGACACCCCCAAAGTCCTTACTTTGGGGCATGGGCATACATTACACAACATTTTTAAAAAGTGGGAACAGGGGTGCCTGGGTGGCTCAGTCAGTTAAGCATCTGACTTCAGCTCAAGTCATGATCAAGCAGGGTCCTGGTATTGAGTCTCACATCGGGCTTCCAGCTCGGCGAGGAGTCTGCTTCCCCACTCCCTCTGCCCCTCCCCCGGCTCGTGCTCTCTGCCTCTCTCTCAAATGAGTAAATAAAACCTTTTAAAAAAATAAAAAGTGGGAGCATTTATTTTTTTTTAAATTCGGAGTTAACATTTAAGTGAGGTGACCTTCCTGAAACACACTGGCAGACAGCAGAGGTGGTGGGGTCTGCAGGATGGGGGCACCCAGGCTGGTTTGTTCAGAACTCAGTATAATCTTCTAAGTCAAATTGTTTCTTCTCTCTTATTGTCTCCTCTCCTCAATCACAGAAAGCACTTCAGCCGCAAAGAGAAATGAGCTTTGGAGATGTTAGTGTTTCAGATGCTCTGTATCACCGTTGCTGTACGTTGGCACGGAGTGTGGAGTGTGGGAGTGACAGCTCTGTGGTATACGTGGCTAGAGCTGAAGGGAAGAAGGCACTCCAGTGGAGGTGGTTTGCCTCCAAAACCAGAGTTGGCTTAGTAACTTAGTGTTAATTTTAGGCAAGTTGACCTTACAGCCCTTGGTCAACCATCAGAAACCACATTGTGTTCTGTGTGTCCTGGTCCCGCAGTTAGGGAAGCTCTCAGATCCCAAGAGGGGCCACCTTGGTTCTCTGAGGTCCAGATATGGTGTGTGGTTGCCAGTCTTCCTACCCGGGGGGGATGCTTCTTGGACCCACAGCCTGGGGTGAACTTGGAAGTCTCTTGCTCCTAGGTGCGATTCCTGGAGCAGCAGAATCAGGTGCTACAAACAAAGTGGGAGCTGCTACAGCAAGTAAACACCTCTACTCGGACGAATGACCTGGAGCCCATCTTGGAGAACTACATCAGTGAGCTGCGGAGGCAGGTGGATTTTCTCAGTGCTGAGCAGATGCGCCAGAACACAGAAGTTAGGAACATGCAGGATGTCCTGGAGGACTACAAGAACAAGTGAGAGCCCAGGCAGGGTAAAGGGGTCAGAGGGAAGCATGGCAGGGAACTGATTCAGGGGCAAGACATCCTGCTTTAGTGTTAGTATGTGAAGGGTGGACCAGGGTCCCCAGGTGCAGCCACCCAGCTCTGTACCACACAACGGCAGAGGGCATCTTGCATATGGCAGCTCTGGTAGGATGGTGGTACCAGTCAGCTCTCAAATGTATTGGGTGGGGAAGGGCAGACTATCCTCAGGGTGCTGGACCCAGATGAGCCAAGTTCCAGTGGGTTTTGCCACTTTCTAGCTGCTTGCAAGTCTGTCTTTCTAAGCCTTTAGTTTTCACCTTAGTAAAGTGGGGATGGAAAGCACTCTCCCTGTTGGGTTGCTGCGACAGGCAGATCTGGGCTCTCAGGCTTCGGTGTGCAGCAGGCTGGTTGAGTAGGCCTGGAATGCGACCAGAGTGTTTGCATTTCTAGTATGCTTCCACGTGATGCTGGTGGACTGGGGAGCACACTTTGAGCACCGCTTGTTTAGATGACATTATGCTTAATAAGTTCCCAGACTGTGCCTGCACATACTAAGCACTAGCTATTATTAATCATAATGGTCGGGACTTGTCTAATTCCAGATCATCTGCTCCAGTCCCGTGCAGGCAACTGAGAGGCTTCTCCCTCCCCATGCTAGGGGTGCAGGTTGCCACCCTTGACATCATCACCCTGACACACCAATCAGAGAGTCAAGAGTGTGTGACTCAAAAAGGGCAAGATGAAATTCACACTGACGGTGTTGGGGGGCAACATTGTAGGTGACATTTTTTTCTCTTTAAAACAATTTAGTAAAAGCGGCTATTTATGTCCTCAGCTGCAAAAAAATGGCTATCCTCTGGTAGGGGATAGCCAAAGTCTAACACTAAAAATCTGGGACATTCCAAGCCGCTTGCTGTGAGGAGGAATCTCAAGGAGCCAAGGTCAGCCTCGGCAGCCTATCTGTGTTTCTTACCTCCTCCCACAGATACGAGGAAGAGATCAACGGGAGGACCAACACTGAAAATGACTTTGTCGTCCTGAAGAAGGTGAAGGATGGGGGAGGCCCCAGGGGGACTGTGGGTCCAGGGGACTGAGCAGAGGGAGGAACTCCTGTGGGATGCCGTGTGACCAAGGGGTGGACAGGTGACTGCTGGGGGCAGCTTGTGGAGGGTGTGGCCTGAAGGCTGGGCCCCTGCACTGAAGGGGTTAAGTCTGAAAGTGATGTCGATAGGAATCTTGAGGCTTCCTTGAGTGCTTATCTCTCCACAGTCCTGAATGTGAGGTTCAATCAACTGACACTTGTTGAGTGTCAGTTACGTGCAGCCTTGAGACCTGGGGAGGGACCTGGGGTGCTTTGTGTGACTGACTGGGATGAGGGCCTTGGTGTCACATTTCTTCCTGGTCAGGAAAGCCAGAGTTTTTGCAGGTCCCTCACCTGAGTGAGGTGAGGAAATTTGCAGGCAAGGAAATAAACCCAGAGAGGTTTTGCCACTTGCCTGGGTCACCCAGTGAGCTAGTGGCAGGCGACACTTGGACAATAAAGTCAGAATATTTTTGCTTGCCGTTCAGGATGTGGCTGCTGCTTACATGAGCAAGGTAGACCTGGAGTCCAAGGTGAATGTTCTGTTTGGAGAGATCAGTTTCCTGAAGTATTTATTTGAGATGGTGAGTTCAGTCCTCATGAGAAACCCTTCTCTTTCCTCACATGTCACAAAGGGTATGGGCTGTTGGAGGGGGAGGCATGAAACCCAGCATGACCCACTAGGGACTCCTCTCCCCAGTCACCTCAACTCTGGGACTGGAGTCAGCCTCCCAACCCCCAGTGCTCAGATTCCTGGGTGCAGGTGCTGGAGATGGGAGGCAGGGAGTGTCCTGAGGGAGAAGATGGAGCAGCTCTTGATTCTATCTGGAAATGAGGTTAATATCCAGGACATACAGGGACAAAACTGACCAGAAATCTTCACCAGTGCTGGGAATCCAATAGAGCTATTGGGGAATTCTGTAGGAGAGGACAGTGTGGATCCTAAAGGGACGAAGCCTACAGTGGTGATGGATAATATCCTTCTACCACCCCTGGCCCTACTGTTGCTCATGTCTACTTTGGGCCAGATGCTGTGCAAGGAGCTTTGCCCGCCTTGGTCTCCATTCTGCTGATGAGAGAGCTGAGGCACTGAGAGACTGAATCACTAGTTCAGTCACACATCTAGTCGGTGGTAGAGCCCAGGCTCAAAAGTGAGGGAATGGCTGTGCAAAGAGAGTCCCTTCTATGGCTCTGAGAGCTCATGTATTTCCCAAGGAGCAAGTCTGCCTGTCAGAGGGCCCAAGATGGCAGCCAAGCCAAGTAAGGCGGGGAGAGAGGGCACAGGAGAGGCATGATGGGCAGGTGGTGCCTACAGGAGCTCTGAATTCACGCTCCTTTCTTCTCCCAGAAGCTAGGTCTGGGGGCCTTTACCTTTAGTTAAGACACCTCTTGGGGTGCAACAACTTTTCAAAGAACTTTCCCCAAGACTCGCATCTGGCCCAGGCTTCTGGTTTCCCCAAAGAGCCTTGAGGGGACAGTAGAGGGAAACTGAGGCCCCAGGAGGAGAGTGGAAGGAGTCAGCCTGTGGTCTATGCCTTGCAGGAGCTGTCGCAGATGCAAACCCACATCAGCAACACCAATGTCATCTTGTCTATGGACAATAACCGCTTCCTGGACCTGGACAGCATCATCGATGCGGTGAGGACCCAGTATGAGCTGATCGCACAGAAGAGCAAGGATGAGGCCAAGGCGCTGTACCAGACCAAGGTGGGCACTGCTGCCCTTCCATCCAGACTTGGTACCCCAAACCAGACATAGCCTCAGAATTTCTATCGTCTTTCTCTTATTTTGGAAGTTTTATATACATATATATATATATGTATATATATATATACATATATATATATACACACACATACATACATGTATCTATATACATTTTATACATATATATAAAATTTCATTTACTCCTTACAACAACCCTGTGAGGTAAGGAGTTGATTACCCCTGTTTTGAAGATAGTAGAGTATGAACTCACCTAGTTTGCCTAGGGTCTTATGGCTGGTAAGCGGCAGGGGCAGGACTTAAACTTAGGTGCTCCGCCTACAAACCCATGCCCTAAACCACTATAATGTTTTTTATTCTTACTTTTTTCATAATGAGATCTTTTAAGCTGTGGTTCTGTACTTTACTCTTTCACTTATTACTTGTGAATGCCGTTCTGTGACATTAAATATTCTATGTCACTTTTAATAGCAGCATGATGCTCGGTGGTAAGAATTTACCTTTGTCAGATAAACATCTCTGTGGCTAAGTCTTCGGGCACATCTATGATTACTTCTTTAATATCAATGGACTCGGACCTTTTTGGAGGGCGAAGACTGTAGTTAAGGGTCAAAGGCCGGTCCCTACATTCTGAGCTCCTGACACTTGCGATCTGCTTTCTCAACTCCAACTTTGGCGGGCCTCTGTCTCACTGCCCTGCAGGCAAGGGTTCTGAGCGGCATGGATTTCAGCATCAGACCAGGGAGGCAGATGGTCAACAGGGAAAGCATCAGAATGCAGAGCTTCCCTTGAACCAGCAACCCTGTGCCCCTTGCTTCCTCCAGAGCCCTGCCCGGGGGAGCCTACTGATGCGGCCATGTAGATACAGAAATGACATAGAGAGGAGAATGGGAATAAACAAGGGGCATGCTGAGGGGCTCTGAGGAAATAAGGTCGTGGCTGCTAGGGAAACCGTCCTGGAAAAGGGTAGGAAGGAATATAGGTATGGTGGCAAAAGGGAAGAGGTCCCCGTGTGGGTAAGGGCCTCTAGTAAGGCTTAGATGGGGGAACAAGTAGGTGGAAAAGGGCATCCAGGAGCAGCTTTGTCTGTCTGGGATGTGGGTCTGGCCCAGAGACTGATGAGAAGGAGGGAGGCTTGAACAAGACTGTGTGTGTGTATGTGTGTGTGTGATGTCACGGCTCAAATGAGGGAGCTTTGGTACGGGAGTGTGTATGGCGGGCATCACAGCTCTGGGGTGGGGCGTACCTGGGAACTGTGCCTGGAGAGCAGCTTTGGGCAGGGCCTGGGAAGGCAGACTCACTCCCTCGTGGAAGGCCTCGTGGTGCGCAGCAGGCTGACCATGATGTTGCCTTTGACCCTCAGTACCAAGAGCTCCAGATCTCAGCGGGAAGACACGGAGACGAGCTGAAGAACAGCAAGATGGAGATCGCTGAGCTCCACCGCACCATCCAGAGGCTGCAGGCAGAGATCAGCAACATCAAGAAGCAGGTGAGAAGGATGCTCAGGGTGGGCTGACCAGGCATGCCGCCTCCCACAGAGCCCTGCCAAATGGGGCTCCTGAAACTCACCCCCCCATTCGGTTCTTCTCTGCGACTTTCTCCTGAGTAGATTGAGCAGATGCATATGGCCATTTCGGATGCAGAGGAGAGAGGAGAGCAGACCCTTCAGGATGCGCGGCAGAAGCTGCAGGACATGGAGGAGGCCCTGCAGCAGTCCAAGGAGGAGCTTGCCCGACTGCTGCGAGACTACCAGGCGCTGCTGGGGGCCAAGCTGTCCCTGGACGTGGAGATTGCCACCTACTGCAAGCTGCTGGAGGGCGAGGAGAGCAGGTGGGCCATGCTTCTGGGGCCAGCATGCAGGCTGCATCCCTGAGCGGTGGGACTATTTGGAGGGAAGACAATCCCTGTTTTCTGGAAAGACTGGTAGCCCCGGGCTGAGCAGAAACATCCGAATCAGAAGCAGAGGATGTGTCATTGGCATCATTCCCCTGCCTCTGAGCAGAATGTCCCTATACCCCAACCTAAGGCACTGCAGCCAGTGCTAAATGGCTTTCCGAAACTGTTTAAAACCCCTTCTAGCCCCTCACTTCCTGACCTCCTGGCCTGTGCACCCACCTTTCCCTAAAGTTTGGGGACAGTTTTTCACTTTACGGGACTCTCTCTGCTCTGGATGTCTCCAGGCTGTCACCTGCCTTCCTCCTGGCTTTGCTGGTCTGACCGATGTGTGTGCTTTGGTTTTTTTACAGGATGTCAGGGGAGCTGCAGAGCCACGTGAGCATCTGTAAGTAGCAGGGTCCAGGCGGGGGGCTGCTTGGGGCCCGCGGCAGAGGGAGGGCCGGGGAGGGCAGGCCAGCAGGGACCGGCAGTCAGCGATTTAGTTTCTAGTCCTGCACCATGAAAAACCACAGTGAGCCAATAGACTGCCGAGCCTGGAGAAATTCGCTGAGATAAATTGTTCCGATTTTAGTGCTTACGTATCTTAATGTTGATGAGACCTAATAATCAGTAGTAGCTTAGAACTCGTCAAGGTATATGGCTAATGAAAACGGGTCCTGACATGCTTTGTCTTTCTTTTTCCTTATTATTTTGTTCAATTAGCCAACATATAGGACATCATTGATTTTTGACGTAGTGTTCAACGATTCATTAGTTCCGTAAAACACCCAGTGCTTTGTCCTATGAAGAATACTTGGAAAAGGGGAACCTTTTCATCCTATATGGTTTTGCAAGTCAGACGCTGCCTGCGACTAAGGGTGCAGGAGGGTGCCCCAGGGCGGGTGCAGAGGGGTGCAGGGGGGAGGTGCAGGCGGGTCCCCCGGCCAGCCCTTCTGACCCCAGCTCGGGCTGCCCTCTCCCCACAGCTGTGCAGAGCAGTCAGACGACCAGCAGCGGCGGCGGCTACGGAGGGGGCTCCCGAGGGGCCAGGGGAGGTGGTTACGCGGGCGGCGGCGGCGGGGGCGGGGGCTACGGAGGGAGCAGCCGGAGCAGCAGCAAGTACGGGGGCAGAGGCGGCGGCGGCTCGTCCCGCGTGCAGATCATCCAGACCTCCACCAACACTTCCCACAAGCGAGTCGTGGAGTAGAGGGAGGCTCACACAGCCCCGCCGGCAGGGCGCTCTCCTGTCCCCTCCCCGGCGCCCTTTCTGAACCCCTCTCACTTACCTTTCCCTCATGGGTCTCTGCAGCTTTGCTAACACGTTCCACGCTAGCTGGGGAAGCAGGCGGATAACCCCAAACAGCAGATCTGTCTTTGGAGGGCGCTGGCTGGCTGACAGAATCACAGCCAGACAGCTCTCCACTCAGACTCCGCTCCGCTGGCCATGCCCCTGCCCCTGGGGACATCCAGGGGCCCAGTCTAGCCCTGGAGAAAAAGAGCCTGTAGAGTATCTACAGAGCGGATAATGGAGAGTTAAGGTCAAGGACACCAGGTTTCTCACCCCCAGGCTCCCTTTCCTACACCTGGGCTGCCCTGTGAACAATAATCCATCCCTTAGGGGACCCACAGAACGAGGCCTTTGGGCGAGTAGCTTGGCAAGAGGAACCTCTGTGCCGGGGACCCATTCCTGTCTGTTGGTCTGTTAGCCTCATACTTGCATGTTGATGGAGAGTATGGATTTGCTGTCCTCATCAGACACCTTGAAGTATGTCTGGTCCTGATTCTGCATCTCCGTCTTAAGAAGCATTATTCTCTGGGCTAACAGCTCAAGGTGGGAATATTTCAGAGGGCATGCATCCTTGTCCCCTGGGAGGACTAATTATCCCCAAATAGAGGAGTCAGTGGGGGAAGCCATGGAGTTCTGTTCTGTCCTGCCCCTCCTGACAGCTCCAATTCTTTGGCAGCCTGGCCCTTCCTGAGCTCTGCTCCATAATGGCCCTCCTGAGAATTGTCCAGGAAGCTGGGCATGTGCCGCCTAGAGCTGCTGTGTCCAGGTGCCAGGCCCAGAGGAATTGGAAGATTAAGCATGGGTCTTGGGAGGGTTCAATCCTGACCAGTCCGGAAGCTGCCTGTTATGTGTAAGGAAGCATGGAGCCCTTTCCTGGGCTCTCAGAGTCCCTCTGCCTCCTGTTCTCTGTGACTGAGCACTTCCTGAGAATTTAACCCTTCCTTTCAGGCCTTACACACGATGTTTGAGATGCGCTGGAGGGGACAGGAAGGGGAAACTATAAGCCAACTAGCAGGCCTGCAGAGGGGGAGGGTGGTGTTGCTTCTAAGAACTGGAGTCACCTTTGCTTTCTTGCTGAGTCCTAATGCAACCTCCAAGTCCCTGATTCTCTTTGGGGCATCGGATGGGCTCAGTGGGGGTCCCTTGCGGAGTGGTGTGACCGCATCATTTCCTGGTTGAAGGGCTTGACATTTCTGGTGTTTCTACAATAAAATTTTCTGTGATCTCAAACTGCTGTTCAGTCAGAGATAAGTGATTTCTTCTTAAATTTCTGCAGGCCTCTGCAATTATTCATATCTGGGAAGTATTACTTTTATTATTTTTTATTGCATGATCTTAAAAGACCTTGCAGACATGATCTTACTAGTGCTGAAAGTGGCCGCTCATTCCGAAGTCAGTCACACATTGGTTCAGCATGCATTCATTCTGCTCTGGCCGTGTGCCAGGAGGAGGCCTCGGCCCTGGGAATGCAATGTTGGCTGAACCCGTTTCTGAATCTTCAGGTACTCACAACCCAAATGATAGATTATGGCAGAGGGGAAAGTTCAGAGGGAGGAGAAATCAGAGCAATGCGTCCTTGCGGACCTTTTAGCCTGAAGGTGGTAGCAAGACCTGTCCTGTGGACATAGGCAGACCCTCCATTGCAGGAGCTGTGGGACCTGCAGTAGATGCCAATTCTGGGGAAGGGAAGCTTCGCCCCAAAGCTTGGCCCTCCTAGAGGGCTAGAAAGTGGAACAGGCCTGGGGAAAACCGTGGAAGTAGGTGAGGGCAGGGCCTCAGGGAAGCGCCCTTCAGACAGGGGGCTAGTCTTCCAGAGACTCAAAGATAAGAGAGACTGAATGTGTGTGAGTGAGAGAGGTCCGGCTCCCAGGAGACAGGAGCTCAGAAGATAAGAGACTGAGCCCATTCACCCAGTGGGGGTCCTGGGCAGGGTCTTCTGGAATCCATGCCTCTGGGGGAGGCATAGATGCAGACATTCAAGAATGGAGCAAGTTAAGCTACTGCCTTATCCTATGTGGTATTTCTGAGTCTGTGTAAAGGAGTTGCATAAAAGATGTGACCTACTTTTTCCTTCCCTGAAGGAGTACAGATGACAGTTGGATATGGGATTCATTCAAATATGACTGCAGTCCATATTGATAAGACAGTGTGTTCCCACGCAGGTGCCTACCTTCTCTCTGAGAGGCTTCTCCCCATCTCACCTTGGCAGCAGACCTGTGGGGGAACGGGCTGGGAAAGGAGAGGTGGGCAGAGGGGCTGCCCGAAGGCAAGGAGAGAGGGCGTAGACAGAAGCCATGCCACACTTGAAGTAAAAAAAAAAAAAAAATCCAAGAGCACGGGACAGGGACGGGGAGAGAGAAAACAGCAGTGGGTGTAAACTTGGTTTAGAGTGTTCAGCTGCCGATGGTGACAGTGCATGAGCCAACAGCAGTTGGTGGCCAGTGGGGACAAGCGTGGGGACCAGGAAGAGAGTAGTGTGCCAAGTCCACTTTGGCTCTCCTGTAGTCTGACCACTCTGAGGACATTACTAAAGAGGAGTCCATTCAGATGACAGTGGCTAGGATGACAGGGGTGGGTGATCAGAAACCTGGCCACAGGGGGACGGTAGAAGGCCCTGGATGTCTTTGGGGGGAGATGTGACAGTTAACTGCAAAGATTTGAAGAGTTTCCTTGGCAAAGAGGGGTTGACCCCAGCTGATGACCCAGATGAACAGGTGGGAACTGCAGCAGATTTGGCTCAGGGTAAGAAGCAATTTTTATTGATCCTGAGATGGGAGAGGCGTGAGGAGTTGGCACATTTCAAGCAGAGGTTGGCTAACTATCTGGCAGGAGGTTGAGGGAGGGACTGAATGATACGTGGGAATATGTGTATGGCAGCCATTCATCCCTTTGCTGCCCTCAGAGTTCGTGTGATGGAGCCTGAGAAAAAAGTTTTACTCTCTATTTTATATTGGGGAAAATTAAGGTCAGATGCCAAGGAATGATCAAGTCATGGAGAGGCCAAGGGCCCAAGGGCCAAGGATGGTGAAATGAACCCAAGTTTTCTGACACCACAGACCTAGTCCAGGGTGTGGATTAGATTCTCGCTGGGATCATGCCTGTGCACATGATGTGCTTAGGAAATCCAAGCTGGCTCTGGATAAAAACACAGGGCAAGGTGGATCAGAGGTCATCTTGCCCATCCTTCTCTTTCTGGGCAGTAATTGGGGTTTTCCCAAAAAACATGACCCTGTTTTTTCTCTTCAGAAACCTTGACCTTCTCAATCATGGAGAACCGGGGGACAGATGGAGGGAATCACATGCCTGAATCCTAGAATACTGGAACAGAGATTCCACAGGGCAGGGGCATGAGAAAGGTAGGGTAAGGAGAGAGGAGTTAGCCAAGGAGGATCTTGGACTCCAAGGAAAGGCCTTGATATCATGTTCCGGGCCTGAGCCAGGGCGTCAGCACTAAAAGATGCTGGGAGGAGGCTTCCTGGTATAAACAATACTCCTGTTAGAGACAATGAGATCCTATCAGGAGCAAATGCCTCTCAGTGTAGCTCACCCCAGTGACAACAAGGAGCCATCCCATAGCCCTCTAACCATGTACAAAATGCTTCCATGTGCGGTATCTCATACGGTTCTCATGGGCCCTGGGGGAGGGCTGGGGGAACACCTGTGATCCTTCCAGGGGCCAGGAAGCATTCCATCCCTGCTTGTGGTCAGTGCTATTCCCACGGCACTGATACTCTGAGGGAGAGTCAAGCAGGCCCATCCACCAAGCAACAGAGGGGCGGGCAGGAGGGAGCACCGAGGAGGGCAGGAGGCCACTCCCAGGGAGTTTGCCCGCAGCTCCTCCAGCTGAGAGGCTGGGGCAGGGCAGGGCAGGGCGCTCTGGGAATCTAAATTTAATTCCACCAGCTTCTCATCTACATAGATTATCATCTAGGAACATGGTGACGGAAGGAGCAACCATTGGCTCAATAAAATTCTAACTCTGTCTGACCTTGGACAAGGTGTACGTTTCTGGGCTGGGAAAGTCCTCGATATCAGGAAGCCTGTGAAGAGTGTTGCTTCACCCTCCATTACTGGACCTTTGGCCCAGGATGCGTCTTCCAGTCATGAGCCATGTGCTCTGATAGGCCCTCTTCAAGCTCGGTGTAACTCCCATCATTTGGTTGGACCTGCTGCCCTGGTTTTATCAGCTTTCTGATCAGTCCAGGAAACTGTGTGTCTTCAGGTTGATCAACACTCTGTTGAAGACTGAGCTGGGAACTTGGGATGTTGTGAGGACTGGTTCTGAATGTCCCAGTGCCCGGCTGGAAGGGCTTCTGGGGGCTCTAGGGTGTGTTCCAGCTTCCACACCTGTCCCAGCATGCTCAGTATGGGGATTTGTCCCCACTCTACAGAACAGGTATTCCACAGTGACGGTAATTCCCAGCTAGCCTAGCCCCCTTGGGCTGCAGGTGCACTCAGCATTCCCTCCTGTGTGTGATGGGCCCCTACCTTCCTTGTTATAGACTTATGCTCCCTTCCTCCCCCAAGGCTTTCACCCACAAGATGACCTTATCGCAAAAACTTAAGCTGCTTTTCCAGGTCTTTTTAGTTTCCAGTGAAACCGGGTCTTGTTCCAAAGTTTTTCCTGATTGTTTTATCATCTTCTGGATCCTTCCAAATACAATAGAGAGAATCCTTCCCTCTTCCTCTATCTAGCATCTACTACACTTTGGTTTCCCTCTAAGGTAGATGCAGTCCCTCTTTGAGATGAGGAAACTCAGGCTCAGAGAGGGCAAGTGACCTACCCAAAGTCACACAGCTAGAAATTTGCAGTCAAGAGCGGGTCTCTGGCTGACTCCATAGCTCAGACAACATCCACCTCCCCTCTCCTACATGTTCATCTTTGGCTTCCTCCTTCCTGGCCTCTATTCTGCGCCAAA